TTTTGGCTACTATAGCTAAAGAATCTCCTGCAACCAGAAATTCATATCCCTGGGCATTTTTCTTGTCTTATGTACACACTGATAAAAAATAAATGGGATTGCTATTGTCTGTATGGCTTTTATACGGAATTGACAGAACTGGACATTAACAAGAACAGATGAGAGGGTGATAAAAAAAATTGTACAGTTATTTACTCGGTATTAAACTAGAAGAAGTAGTGAAGGAAATAAAGATAGCATGGGTAAAAAAAATTGGTTACACGATAGAATTAGAAAAATGGCAGTAATTAGGTGATACAAATTGTAAGTTAACAATGTCAACTGCATATAAAGAGAATTTGTACAAGATGTTTTACAGATAGCATTTTCCACTGGCAAGGTTGGCAAAGATGTTTAAAGATTAATCAGCGAAATGTTGGAGATGCCACCAGACATCGTGGTCATATTATCATATGTGGTAGACATGAGTAAAAGCCAAAAAATATTGGATAAAAATATGTACATGGTTGGAGGAGATAATACAACAACATATTGATCTGAAACCTGAATTATTCTTGTTGGGGATTTTACCAGAAATTTACAATTTAAAAAAATGTATATTTGATAATTCACGTAATAACTGCAGCTAGGATTGTATTTGCACAAAATTGGAAAAATGAAGAGATTCCTACGGATGAGAATGTGATTAGGAAAATATTAGAATGTGCAGAAATGAATAGGTTAACACTTGCAATTAAAGAAAAGGAACAGTCCAATTGTTATAATATATGGAAATTATTTTATCAAGGGTTAGAGAATAAATATGAAAAGTGGAAAAAGAGTGAAATAGAGAAAATGTTTTAACAAAGTTAAATAAGTTAAGAAGAGGATTGTTATAGTATTAGGTATGGTATATATTAATATTAGTATTAAGTTAAGAATAGATAAAATAATATGGCCGTGAATCGTAATTGTTATTGTATAAAATATTTGCACGAAATATTTGTACCCAGATGACACACTGTTTAATGGAAGATGGAATGGAAAAATATATATTTTTTATTTTTTAAAAAAATGAGATAACTCTTGTCTGTATGCAGCAAGTGTTCTGGTTTGATCATTAGGCCAGTAACTCTTTGACCAACAAGGAAATGGATTGTCAAACCCACCGTATATAACTTTTCATTGCGTCGTGATCAGCCACTTATGACTAACATGGTAGGAGAAAAATAAAGCCTTCAAAGTCATCTGCTTTCCTTAGCAAGCCTGAAGCTATTATTTTTCATCCTAGACTTATTTATGGTCAGACACATTCACAGACCGATAGATGCTTAGTCTTCTTTTGATGGACGAGTTGTATCAAGATGGGTGTCAGGGGCCGTTGGAGTTTTCAAAAGCTTGCATTTCGTATGACTTTTTCCTCTTTTTTTTCCTTTTTGACATGTTGAAGAAAGCAATGTAAATTCTTGGGGATTTTGCGTAAAGAACCAATTTTTTAAAAATGCCAAACTTTGCTGACAAGCTGTAGCTAAAATAGCTTTTAAAAAAGAAAAGAAAAGAAAAGAAATGTCGATCAGATTTATCCATCAGTATCAGGAAAGCAGACACTAAGGTAAAAAGTAATGAACATTGGGGAAGTAGCAGGGGTGAAATCCAACAGCTTCTGACAGGTTCTGGAGAACTGGTAGCAGGAATTTTGAGTAGTTCAGAGAACCCACAAATACCACCTTCTGGCTGGCCCCAGAGTGGGCTGGGAATGGAGATTTTGCAATATCCTTTCCCCAGGAGTGGGGAGGGAATGGGGATTTTGCAGAATCCTTCCCCTGGAGTGGGGTGGAAATGGAGATTTTACAGTACCCTTCCCCTGCCACGCCCACCAAGCCACACCCACAGAACCAGTAGTAAAAAAATTGAATTTCACCACTGGGAAGAAGGTCTTGTCACATCCACCTAATATCTGATCTCAAACTTTCTTTTTTTACTCTTTTATCATTATACAATCCTTTTGAAAATAAATTTTCTCCTCTCCTCCCCCCTCCCCCAAAGGATCAGAAATTTGGATGAAATTATCATATCTACATTCACTATATATCTTTCACTTGGCTTAGTTAGGGGATACATTTCTTCTTCATTATACAATGAGTCTTTCTTTCTTTCTTTCTTTCTTTCTTTCTTTCTTTCTTTCTTTCTTTCTTTCTTTCTTTCTTTCTTTCTTCCTTCCTTCCTTCCTTCCTTCCTTCCTTCCTTCCTTCACCTTTTCCCTCTTTTTCATTACACAAATTTTAATTGGTTTTTTAAATGATTGGGGTTTTAATATGTTTGGGCCAAATTTGTTTAATTCGATTTTACTTTGTTTTAAATTTTGTATCTATGTATTTTTACTGTTTGGCTGTTCACCATAACATACATTTTTAAAAAAACCAAACTTAGAGAGTAGTTTAAAACAATTCTAGTTATTTTAATAGATCTTTTTGTTCTATAAACCCTTAAGTAAACTGTTTCTCTTTCTCTGCATCATCTATCTCTATCTATCTATCTATCTATCTGTCTGTCTGTCTGTCTGTCTGTCTGTCTGTCTGTCTGTCTGTCTGTCTATCTATCTATCTATCTATCTATCTATCTATCTATCTATCTATCTATCTATCTATCTATCTATCTATCTCTATCTATCCATCCATCCATCTGTCCATTTATCCATCCATCCATCCATCCATCCATCCATCTATCTATATCTATCTATCCCATCCATCTATCCCATCCATCCAAAATAGTATCTTTTAGAATTATCCTCTCCTTGCCTTTTCTATTGCTTCCTTTAAACAAAAATATATATTTAAAAAAAAACTGCTTGAGAGCAAAGAGATGCATTATTAATGCTACATGTCATGAAATAATATAAATACTTACTTTTTGCCAAGCCAGATTCACTAATCAAGAATAAATGAACATGTGTGAATTATTCAAGACATCTCAAACACAGCAAATTGTACTCCAACTGAATATTTTGAGCACTCTATTCAAAAATGCGACAAAAGACATCACTAGTCATATTAAACACTCCTTCAATAAAATGCCAATGAATTTTGTCTCTGGTAAAACCCATCCAGAAATGTTTAACTGGGAAAATTAGGAAATCTGTAGTTTTGTGCAAACATGCACCCATTAAAATACAGACTGTGTCTGTGGGCATATCATTCATTTGCGGGACATGTGGATCCTTGGAAATTAATGATATCTTTATTCTCCTGTGCCTGCAGAAGTGCTATAACCATTCTCAAAAAATAATGAAAGCAATAGCAATAGCACTTAGATATATACACCGCTTCATAGTGCTTTTACAGGACTATATAAGTAGTTTACAGAGTCTGCCTATTGCCCACAACAATCTGGGTCCTCATTTTACCCACCTCGGAAGGATGGAAGGCTGATGGAAGGCACATGCGCAGAGCATCCATGATGATGTCCAGTTGGGTGGGTGGAGCCTCCCGCCACTGTGGGAGCGAACCGGTAGAAACCCACCACCGAGTAGTGTACGGTACAGCATTTTTACTACCGGTTCTGTGGGTGTGGCTTGGTGGGTGTGACATGGCTTGGTGGACATGGCTTGTTAGGTGTGGCAGGGAAAGGATGCTGTAAAATCTCCACTCCCTCCCCACTCCAGGGGAAGGATATTGTAAAATCTCCATTCCCTCCCCACTCCAGGGGAAGGTTACTGCAGAATCCCCATTTCCTCCTGATCAGCTGGGACTCAGGAGGCAGAGAATAGATGGGGGCAGAGCCAGTCAGAAGTGGTATTTACCGGTTGTCCGAACTACTCAAAATTTCTGCTACCGGTTCTCCAGAACTGGTCAGAACCTGCTGAAACCCACCTCTTGTCTAGTGTCCAGAATGTATGAATCTGAAGTTCTCCAGGTGTATTGGTCATGCTGCTGCTTGGAAATTATGGGAGGCATCATCAAAAAAATATGTCAAGGGCAAGTGATTGTGAAAGGCTGACTAGATCACTATAATGATATAAAAGTCACTAATGCAACCCACAGGATTGTCCTCCCGAATGAAAACACTTCCTTGAAATCCCAGAAACTTATTTTGCTTGCCAATTATTGGAGTGAATTTTTCATGAAGCAGGAAACTCAATGTTTCTAATCCGATCAAATGTCAAGTACAGTATTATGTAAGGTATATTTTTAGGTTGGCAAGAAAGCAGATATATTATACACCTATATTCAGAAGCCAAATATCAGTGCCGAGGGGAAATGTTACCTTTCTAGTCCTTTAAATTATTACTGGGAAAAAGTTCACAGAGTTTTAGTGGCGTGTTTTCTGTCTAATGCCAGGCATTCGTTCATAGTTCATTTGTTCAACCGGAGAAACATGTGAGTTGATGGCCACAAAGTGACTGTCGAATGTAGTCATTTACCCTTAAGAAAAATAGGTTCCTGTAACACAAGAACACAAGTTCCCTTCATTCCCTTGAATGTTTCTTCCATCTACAGAAGGAAAAAAAAAAAAAACCTTCTCATCCATCAGTTTGAAAGTACCCAAGTACCCATAAGAGTGTTTGTTCCTCAAGGTTACGCAGTATTGAGTAGAGTAACGGTAGAATTTCCTACAAGCCGTTGGCTCTTTTAATATATTTTTGTAGCCACCCTGCTGCCAAATTCAAAAGGAAAAAAAAAATATCTGGAAGGAGCAGCGAGAAGGTACGATAACCACGAAGCAAAAGCGAAAACGGTACATCTTTTAATAACCAAGATCAATTATTTGATGGTTCCATTTGACTTTTGCAAGGACACCATTCATGGGATGGGTGGCAAGGGTGGGTTCTACTTACCTTTACTACCGGTAAAGGTAGTAAATCTGTGCATGCACAGATCACTTATGACGACATCCGGGGTGGTGGGCAGAGCCTCCCACTGGTTTTACTACCGGTTCTTGTGAACCTGTCTGAACCGGGGGCAACTCACCACTGGTGGGTGGGGAAACACCAGGTAAACATCAATCACCAGAAGAAACTCAGATGTTTTTGTGGCTCTAATTTTATTAATAAGCAGCTTAATTAACAAGACAACATGCTGTACATAACCTGAAAGAGAACTACAGGGGTTTAACTGGATTTCCAGTGCTATTGGACTTAAGAGCATATGATGTGTCCATAGCCTGATACTAGAGTGTTGATTAGGGTAGGTTTAAATACAAATACACAGACTTAATCACTTTCAAATCCTTTAGTATGCCACAAAGTGAGGAAAAAAAAAATTCTCCCTGAAGTACGAACTCAAATACAGATATTTACAAAAAAGGTTTTCAATTATCTTTCTGGCTTAGGGTTAACATGAGATATGCATCATTTCCTTCTTTTCGTGTTTGCCAAACGGTTTCTTTGACCTATGAAACGATCACAAAACCCAACTCATCGTTTTAAAGTGAGGAGACCAGACCATAATCTGATGAGCACCAATTCCAAAGTAGTAGTTTTTTTTTTTTAAAGGATCTTTGATTGCATAGGGATAAGTTTGTTATAAAACTCATGGTAATTTCAGTACACAAATGTTTCCTTACCCTCTGAACCCTTAAAGGTTGGTGGGGAAGAAAAAAAAACCTCCTTTTATCAATTCATCACATATTTTTTGTTAAGGTACACAGTGCGTTGTGGAATGGAGTGCTAAAATATTACATTTCCCCCCTGCCTCATCCCCCAACTTTAATAATGTCTTAAACATTACACAGGTTCCAAAATATATTAAATTGATTTGGATTCAAGGAAGACAATAATTAAAAATAATTGCTGGGAGGTGGAGTAGCACAACACAATCAAGAGATTATCAAGATTCTGAGTTTTGTGCTTTTTTTTTTTTTTTTCCAATTAAATTAAATCTCATCGTCAAGCCACCAAATAGTCTGGTGTCTTTTTGGATTCCTATTGCTTTTCTTTTCTGCAGGAGATTCTTCGCAGTTCAGAAGGAAGCTCCTTCGGAAAGGAAGGGACATTTCTTTAGTCCATTTTTTAAAGACGGTCTTTAAAACAAAATAAAATGGGCGCGAAGAATCAAAGGTGAGAATAATCTTCCCTTGCTTTAGCGCTATTTGTCAATTAGTACAGGCTTGTCCACGATTTGCGGCGAATGCCACAAATTCACCCTTAAATAGATGCAGTTTTGACAGCATTTTACAGAAACAGACTTCATAGATTCTTCTAACAAATAAGCAGAATAAATCAAGTGAGGCTCATGGACTTATGAGTCAACTAAAATAAATGGAGTCTTTCTGTCTTAATTGGATGTGTGTTTTTTCCCTTACATATGCTTCAAAAAAAAATATTAATATGACACTTTGTTCATAAGATGGAATCTTTTCCTCTTTCTCTATCTGTTCCCAATTAGAAGAGAAGAAATGAATAAGTGAAAAGGTGGCACTAAGTCGCTCTCGGCTGACATATACTCACTCACTCACTCACTCACTCACTCACACATACGCACAACTTTCTTTGGTGGGCAATTCATACATAGTGTCCGTCCTAAATGCAAGTGTACATACCACTCGCTTGCATGGGAATGCATGCAGTTTGCATGATGTGAGGTTTAGTTTGTTGTACAATGCATACAGTTTCCTCTCCTGCCCAGCAACTAACCAAATAGCATGAGTAAATAATAAAAATTTACTTTACTCTTCTTCCAAATGTGTACAGGAATTTCCAAGGCAAAGAGAGAAGCAATGCAAAGTAATAAAAGTCTGAACACTTAGCTGCCAAATTCCCAATGGATCCATAGTACGATGAAACAATGACGACAATCGGAACATCAAAAAAAGGCAGGAGAATGAGTGCTATTTGAATACTGAGAGTAGTTTGGTTGCCCAGTTACATGAAGGTTTCTATGTATATTAATATGCATTGCTCTTAATGTACAGGTATTAATAGGCAATATATCATAATATAAGGGGATTTACAGATTATTTTCAATAATACATTTTTTTAAACATGTGATGAACATCAACAGGGAGCGACGTCTGAATGCACAACTTGAGTTCAACTTAAGTAGCGTCACATTCATTATCAGCTAGCCAAAGTTCTCCATGTTCTTATTAAGTAATATACTACATGCTTGTTTAGAAAGTCTTAGGACCATACTGTCATATCACCACTTCTAAAAATTCTTACTATCAAGTAATGGAAAAGGTCTCGGAGAGATCTATTCCAGCCATTGGAGAGAAAAAACAATGAACTTGATGGACTAACAACAACTTTCTACCTTCTTAAGCTAAAAGGGCCTATTTGTTGTTACAACATACATTTTTACACACTTCTGGCTATTTAGCAAAGAGACAGCTATTTAAATAACATGGATTTCTCTTCTGCTTTTTTTTTTTTTTTAATCTTCCTAAAATTGAATGGGGTAGTTTCTGAGCAGTTGTGGCTTTATTTGATTAAATCACATCTTCTTAGTTAAAGAGTGCCCTGCAACCTCTTAGTCATCTCTTAGTCCTGACTAAGAACTTAGTCAAGTTCTTAGTCATCGTGTGGAGTGATTTGCAGATCAGTCTAAAATCTATGATTTCTAGAGAGAGGAATAAATGTATACCGTAACAATATGTATATGGTGAGATGGATTCAAATTTAATAAAGTTCATTGGGCAATCGTAGGTATTCAACACCCTTTGTACAGAATCATGAAGACAATGGTGAACTTATCATGACATTGTTTTATATGTGTGTGTGTGTCTGTGTGTGTTCTGGGGTCATGTGGCTTTTACAACCTTCTGACAAGCAAAGACAATGGGGAAGCCAGATTCACTGAACAGCAGAATTACCATTTTAACAATTGCAGTGATTCACTTAACAACTATGACAAGAAAGGGCATAAAATGGGGCAAAATTCACTTAACCACTCTCCCTTAGCAACATAAATTTTTGGATTCAATTGTGGTCGTACGTTGAGGACCAGTTGTATATTCCCCCCCACCCCCTGAAATGATTTTAGATATATGTTAAATTCTTCTTTTAAGCCATAAAAATCTGTAACATCTACTGATGTTTTTATAGCCATATGCCACGTAGTTCAAGATAAGTTTCTCATCAACAATGGCAAGCCATAACAGGCACCATGATGAGTTTCAAACATGTGAACTCCAAAGTTTTTTCGCATTGATTTTCCGTGGCAGCACTCTGAATTCGCCATTGGGAAATAGAACCACTTAATTCTGATGGATGGCTAAAAACTACTCCAAGGCTTCAGCTGTACAAATGAATAGAAGAAAGCTATATTTTTTATATCAATGATTTAAAAGTCTTGCTACCTTCATGCCTGACTTCAGAAGGCAGAGCCTCTATGCTCACGGGAAGTCAAATACGCCAGACTAACAAAGTTTGTTGGCATTGTTGGATAGCATGTTTTTGGGGGGAGGGTTTGAATTGCTCAGACCCCCGTTATGATTAGATGTACACAAGTGCTCTTCGTGATAGCGGGGTTTTTTTCTTCTTCTTTTAATGGAAGGAAGTTTTTCTACAGACTGTTGATTTCTCCTGTCTGCGCAAGGGTCAGTGTCTGATAGATTGCACAAACTCTGAAAAATAAATCATTAAGGCTAAACCGTATGATGAACAGTTGAGGGAACTAGGAATGTCTACTCTAACAAAGAGAAGGACTAGGGGGTGACATGGTAGCAGTCTTCCAACATTTGAAGGGTTGTCACAGAAAGACCTATTCTCCAAAGCACCTGAGGACAAGACAAGAAGTAACGGATGGAAACTTATCAAAGAGAGATACAACCTAGAACTGAAGAGAAATTTCCTGACAGTTAGAACAACCCATCAATGGAAAGTCTTGCCTTTAGGTTTTTAAGGTGAGATTGGACAGCCATTTGTTTGCAATGGTATAGGGTCTTCTGCTTGAACAGAAGGTTGGACTAAAAGACCTCCAAGAAAAAATGCAGAGGAGAGCAACCAGGATGATTAGGGGACTGGAGGCTAAAACATATGATGAACGGTTGCAGGGAACTGGGCATGGCTAGTCTAGTGAAGAGAAGAGAAGGACCAGGGGAGACATGATAGCAGCGTTCCAATATTTAAGGGACTGCCACAGAGAGGAAGGGGTCAAGCTACTTTCTAAAGCACCTGAAGGCCAGGCAAGGAATAATGGATGGAAACTGACCAAGGAGAGATTCAACCTAGAAATAAAGAGGAACTTTCTGAAAGTGAGAACAATCAATCGATGGAACAGAAGTTGCCTTCTGAAGTTGTGGGAGCTTCATCACTTGAGGCTTTCAAGAAGAGATTGGACTGGCATTTGTCAGAAATGATGTAGGGTCTCCTGCTTGGGTGGGGAGATGGACTAGATGACCTACAAGGTCCCTTCCAACTCTATTAATCTGTTAAAGGTTCCTTGCAACTCTGTTAGTCTGTATTCAGAATTTTGCACCCACTCCTCAGGGATATTTGAATATATGTTCTGATTTTACCATAAAGAAGAAGGTCAGTTCACCAACTGATGTAGAGTTCATTGAATAGCGTCTGCTTAGAATCCAATCCCTGTTACTCCATACTGGCTAAGATTAAGATATGTCCTTTTGGAAAGAGGGGAATTGATATGAACTGTACTTGGATGAATTTTATCCCCTTTACAAGGTGAGTTTTAAAAAAGCAAAAGAAAGCATATTTGAGCCACGGTGGGGCAATTAGTGGTTAGAGTGCAGTACTGCAGGCTACTTCTGCTGAGTGCCGGCTGCCTGCAATTTAGCAGTTCAAATCTCACCAGGCTCAAGGTTGACTCAGCCTTCCATTCTTCCAAAGTGGGTAAAATGAGGAGGAAAATTGTTGGGGGCAGTACGCTGACTCTGTAAACCGCTTATACTATAAAGCGGGTTATAAATCTAAGTGCTATTGCTATTTCACCCTTTACTGTGAGCATGGATCCCTATGCACACAAGCACACACAAACACACAAGCAAGCACAGTTAGAGTTATGGTAGATACCATCCTTAAAGCAAAATAAAAGGCTTGGTGTGCAGATCAAACCCTTTCTAACCCTTAAAAATCAGGGAAGGTTTGTCAATATTGATGAGTTCCAGATTAATTTATCAAACTCTTAACTGTGCTTGAATTAGCAGTGAGTGACTGTGTCAGAGGCTACATGATTAACATGTACTTCACAATTTATACACATCTGAATTTAAATGCTCCAATGTCTCATCTAAAAAAAAAAATAGTGGAATTAGGAATAGCTACACAATTTGATAGCTGGTGGATTTATGAATTAAATACCATCAGAAGGTAAAAAAAAAAGAAAGATAGAAAGCAAATCTTGTATTTTTTTCTTCCTTTTTTACACATTAAGCAAAACGTGTTCTGGATTGATTAACAGTGGGAACAACAATATATAAAGCTACTTATACCTGCTGGGTGCATAATGAAGTTTTTTTTTTTTTTCAGCATTCATTGAGATCTTTGACAATGGGAAATTCTATAAATTTACAAGCAGTTTTATATTACAGTAATTGTACATACAAATATTTTTTTTCTTCACAAATTACAGCTTTTAAGTAACATTTAAAAATGAAACAACCTGGTATCCCCATCGTGTTGGTTCTTGTTTGTTGGCTTGTTCATTCTAAGCACCATCTATTGCTTCCTTTTCCCATCACACTGATTGTCTTTATATGGTTAAAAGTCGGAGTTGGGAAAAGTACCTGACTGCGTTAAAGAAACAGGTTATTTGGTTGTAGAAAATACCAGATTGCATGAATCAAGAGCTAAGGAGAAAATGAAAGAAGGCTAAGTGAGTTTAATGGAGGAACGAACGCAGCTTTTAATATGGGTATAGAATTTGCTAAGTATTCACTCCAATAGATTGGAATGGAATAGAATGGAATGGAATGGCATGGAAAGATGGGATCGTGATATGTCTAATCCATCCTGGGACGTCACCCTGAATTCATACAGAATAATTTAATATGAGGTGCTTCATAATTACATCAGTAAAGGAGAATATTTGTGGCTCGGAGTTGAAATGAGGGAGGGTCCTTGGTGCTCTTTGAGCTTGACATTTCATTACCCATACTAGGTAACATCATCAGTGCTAATAAGGAGTGGGTTTGCTGCTCTCAGTTTATATTCTAGAGCAGGGGTGTCAAACTCAAATTCAAATTAGATTTGGTCCATGGGGGCTGCTCTGGAAACAATGAAGGACTGGCCTGCGATGCCTTTTCCAGCAAAAATGGAGCTCGGGAGGGCCCAGTGATGAAATGCATTTTTTTTTGCTACTGGTTGTGTGGGTGTGGCTTGGTGGGTGTGGCTTGGTGGTGGGGTCATGTGACTGGGTGGGCGTGGCCAGCTCTTTTTTTTTTTTTTACTTTTTAAAAACATTTTAAGTACCTATTCGCCCAAACCGGTAGTAAAAAAAATGCTTTTAAAAAGTATAAAAAAGGTTCTGATGATCGCGTGGCACAGCTGTTTTTATCACTACCGGTTTTCCCGAACCGGAACGAACTGGTAGCATTTCATCCCTGGGAGGGCCTTGTGAGTTTTCAATGGCAAAGGATTGCAGGAGGCCATGGCAGCCAAAAACGGAGCTCGGGAGCCCATTTTTCCTGGCAGAGTGCCCGGTCCACCAAATGCACCCCCAACACGAGTGACGTCAAGCTAGCTATGCTCCCCCTGGCCATGTCCCCTTGCCCACCCACCCCCCAAGGTCAAACACAACCCTGATGCGGCCTTCAATGAAATCGAGTTTGACACCCCTGTTCTAGAGCCACTAGATTATAAACTGAAGAGGAAACCCACTTTTTACTACCCCTGACGATGTTACCTAGTTTGGGTCATGAAACATCTGCATGAAAACAACCAAGCTCAGAGAGCACCAAGGACTCCTCCTAATTATATGAATTGAACATCTGTTTCCCAGCTCTCTCATTCTTTAAATTGATATTGGCAATTTGCTTCTGGGTCTCCTTCAGCAAGTTAAAAGAGTTTCTTTACCTAAATAGTTTAGTGAGTAATGTATGGATTTATAAAGTCGAACCTACAGGAATGGGCAATTCATCTTAACATCACCCGCGTTACTTTATTGGGAACTGTAATTTACCACCCACGTGCAATACACTATTTTGTTTGAGTGATATGGAAGACTGCTCCAGTTGCTGACAAGAATTATTGATTGCACATCAATTTTATGAGGGGCATTAATCCTATTTGGGCATTCTTCACAAGATTTAATTTCTACAGCCACCCATCTCAACAAGTGGTTCTGGTGAAAGAAAGAATGGATCCGTGTGTCTCCACTGTCACCCATGGCTTCCCCAAGTAGCTGTGAATTCTTTTTTCTCGGGGGAAAATCTCAATATAATTTAAAAATAAATATATAAAAATTAGATTTCTGGATCCCATAGGAAGCCATCGCGAAGGCCCAGCCTGAAGGGCCAGAAACTTATCTAGTTTCTGCTCAACTTTGTTAAGTGTAGATGGAAACAGAGCAGTGGTGGGTTTCAAATTTTTTTACTACCGGTTCTGTGGGCGTGGCTTGGTGGGTGTGGCATGGCTTGGTGGGCGTGGCAAGGGAAGGATACTGTAAAATCTCCATTCTCACCTCACTTCAGGGGAACAATACTGCAAAATCCCCATTTCTTCCCGATCATCTGGGATCATCTGGGAGGCAGAGATGGGGTGGGGCCAGTCAGAATTTTTACTACCGGTTCTCTGAACTACTCAGAATTTCCGCTACCGGTTCTCCAAAACTGGTCAGAACCTGCTGAAACAGAGCCTGCACAATAATGACACATGTTAGAAAGATTTTTGTAGATTATCTCTCCGAAATGAAGGATACCATGTGATATGAGCAATATTCTAAGATGGATAGAAAGGTGGACAATATTGGACTGTACTATGATGCTTTGACTGCCCAAAAGGACAATTTTTTTTCCTCTGCTTTGCTATGTTGCGTCTTTCTTTCTTTTTTTAATTGCAAAACGTTCAGGTTAGGGTTTTGTCTTTGGTTGCTCTTACTGATGTTTCTCTAACTGCTTCAGGGTTTTTTGTTTTTCCTCTCCGTGACATGGCGTGACCCTACCCCTATTGCAATATATCACGTAACCGATCCAGATGTAAAGTTTATTTAAAGTTCTTTGCGAATCATAGTTCGTAATCACAGCTAGTCCGTTTGATAGCTTCAACCGTCCTCATCTATTCCTATTAACCGCGGATCTGGTTATTCCTTGATGACTCCAAACTTCTCAGAAAACATTCATTTGGGAAATGAATACCTCCTCTCTGCTTTGGATAATGCCTATGTCCCTGGAATCTCCTGTCTAAGAATATGCCCTAAGAATATGGGGAGGGCTTCCTCTTCCTTCTTTTGGCTCAGCATTAGTTTCTCAGCGATAGTTTTCCCGAAGGAACACTATACAACATCATCTATTGATTCTCCATCGTTGGAGGAGACAGAGACACAATATAGCTTTTTTACTACGTTAAGGTACCTTTTCCTCCTCAAGAGGTCTTTGCAGTGTCCAATATCAGAAAACGCCAAACTAAGCAAAAAGTCCAAAGCCATCCAGAAGACCTGACAGAATGCATGTTAAAAGTAATGCGTGCATATGTTTCTTGATAGTCCTCATCCCGACTGTGGGTTTTGGAAATTAAGAGGAGAATTTTACCAAGCTTCCCCCTGACTGGCATAGAATATCTGCTGAAAAGCCAGATCTATTGTTCTATATGGGAGGGAGCATACTGCTTCCCTTCTATCGAGGCACCTGGTCTACCCCAACATGTGGGAGGGAGCATACTGCTCTCTTTTACCTTTCAGCTCCAATCCAGCAGCTCTCTGATGAGAGCTAAATAACTTGAAATAGATCTATACTAATCTCCCTTTATTTCTTTATCAGTGAAATATAAATTTGGTATTTTATATATATATATATATATTGAGATCTCTGGAACTTCTGTCTGAAGATTCTGGGGGTTCATGGACCGCATGAGGCATTTAGGTCAGGGCATTGTGGGGGGAAAAGTGAAGCCTCAATGCAGGGTTGGTATTCACTTACTTTCCCTACCAGTTCGCAAATGTGTGTGCACGCACAAGGCCTTCTGCACATGCGCAGAGCCTCGAAAACGTGGAAAAATGGGACATCATGATGTTCACGCAGGTGGGCGGGGCATCCCACCGTTGCCCCTACCGGTTTGCCCGAACTGTATAGAACCGGCTGAATACCACCACTGCCTCGGTGTAGAGTTTGTGCAAAAGAATCCTCTTCCAAGTGGACTTTTTTCCTAAAAGGTTCATAAATAAAATTCTGAAGGTGTTATCTTTTCTTTTAAAAGAAAGATCATTTAAGAAATGTCAGCTCAGCTCATCAATGGTCTCTATTGACCTTCCGTTAAATACTGTGATTTCATGCATCCAGATCTATAGAACAGTTTATTATCTATTTATTTTAGGCCACCCTTTACCATACTAGATATCGTGGAAGCAGGTTACACTGAGACCCGCAAGAGGAATATCAATATTTTAGCTCCCTTTTCACAAGGCGACTCCATTAGAACTCTAGCCAGCGTAATGAGATCTGGGGACTTTCCTGTTGAGATACCCTTGTGCAGAACTACAAGTTTACATCATAATATATATTAATAAATAGTTTGCTTGTATCATGTACAAGATGACCGGATGACTTGAAAACAAAAAAGAAGCCATTCTGACATTTTCTCTCTTCCGTCATCATGCAGTAGACCTCACTCCCAAACATGGTTCCATTTCTACCTCAGAAGACCAACTCTTAACATCTGATTGGAACAACTCTTCAGGGAGGAAATCACACACTTTTTGTTTCTCTTGCCAACGTTCCTTTGTGGTTTGTTTGTTTGTTTGTTTGTTTGTTTTCATTTTGTGATGTTTGTTTGCATAATTGTTTCCGAGTGAGGAAGCTGAATTTCCTTTTAACTCTTGTTGTTAAGAACTCAGCTTCTCAGCTTGGGTTCAGAATTCTATATACATCAATAGCCACAAACCTAAGGAGCTTTGCATACAAATAAAAATTGTGTTAAGCTGTGACTATGTACACTCACACGTTTAAAGCCCAAAATAGCCTTGCTTTGTCAAGATATGCCTTTTATAGCTGGTGCTCATGGATCAGAGTGGTGCTGCTTCCAGAGGCAGGCACGGCCTGGGCAGGAGGTATGAAGTTTGCCAGGGGAATCAGTTTGACCGGGTCTTCAGTAGTGCAGAGTCTATCACAGGCATTGTAGAACTGAGGCCTAGGTCCCCCTTGGCCTTTCTCTGTATCCTCCTTGCAACCGGCCCGTCCAAGGGTGTGTCTTCCTTCTGAGATGGCTCCTCGCACCCATCCCTGCTGGAAGCCAAAAGCTGGCAAAGGCGGATTGGATTGCTGGTACTGTGTCAACGAAGGAGGCATCCAGCAATTGTCAGAATGGCCGAGGATGAGGCATTCCTGCGTGCAGGTTTCAGAAGCTTCAGTGAGAGCTTTTTGGAGGTTCACCTCAATAGCTTCAAACAAAGAAAGAGAGAGAGAAGGAGAAGGTTAGACATCAAGGAAAAGAACCACTCCCTCTGGCGTGTTCAACGTACAACATGACTTTGCATACTTCAACAAATATGGCTGACTTATGGTAGCAATAGCAATAGCACTTAGATTTACCGTTTTTCCCTGAAAATAAGACCTCCCCAAAAATAAACCTCCCCTGAAAATAAGCTCTCCCCGAAAATATTTAAACACATGTGCAGCTGGTCTGGTTAAGGTTAGGGAGACAGAGCTGGAAATCAAGTAAGAGGAGCCCCGTCTTGCTCCATGTGCCCCAAAATAATAAGACCTCTCCAAATAAGGCCAAGCACTTATTTTGGGGTTCAAAATATATATATATATAAAACAGGGTCTTATTTTCAGGGAAACATGGTATATACCGCTTTACAGTGCTTTACAACCCTCTCTAAGTGGTTTAAAGAGTCAGTATATTCCCCCCAACAATCTAGGTCCTCATTTTACCGATCTCAGAAGGATGGAAGGCTGAGTCAACCTTGAGCCTGGTAAGATTCGAACTGCCAAATTGCAGGCAGCTGGCAGTCAGCAGAAGTAGTCTGCAGTACCGTATTCTCACCACTGCACCAAAACCGCCACCGCGGTAGCAAACAATTATTCTATGTTGTTTACCAATTTGTTTGTAATTGGGGAGACAGAACTGATAGGTGTTTGGCTTTCAGAATAAAGGAGCACCTTCTGAAATGGGTCCAAACAGCCTTCAGTAATCCAACAACAACAGCAAATCATGGCCATAAAATACCTTCTTTGGCCATTGTGAGACACTTACTATCTACGGGTCACCAGGTGGATCAAAACTCTGTGTTTAAAGTTCTACTGTGCCACGGGAGCTCTCATTTCCTGTGTTTTGCTGAGGAGGTTGCCATTAACCGTTTGAAGTCCCCCTTGTGTGTGTGCAAAAACGGCTTTATGTTGATCTACACCTCCCCTGTGTTTAAGGCTTGCCATTGGTTGCTTTCCTCCATACGTTAAAGGTAAAGGTAAAGATTCCCCTCACACATATGTGCTAGTCATTCCCGACTCTAGGGGGCGGTGCTCATCTCCGTTTCAAAGCCGAAGAGCCAGCGCTGTCCAAAGACGTCTCCGTGGTCATGTGACCAGCATGACTAAATGCCAAAGGTGCATGGAACTCTGTTACCTTCCCACCAAAGGTGGTCCCTATTTTTCTACTTGCATTTTTTACGTGCTTTCGAACTGCTAGGTTGGCAGAAGCTGGGACAAGTAACGGGAGCTCACCCTGTTACAGAGCACTAGGGATTTGAACTGCTGAACTGCCGACCTTTTGATCGATAAGCTCAGCATCTTAGCCACTGAGCCACCATGTCCCCTGTACAATCTTACATTTGGGACCTGGTGGCTCGTAAGATCTTACATTTCAGGCTGATTTTAACTGTGTTATTATAATATAGGTACTGAGAAGTCAATATGAAATGCTTGCATCTACTTCTGTTCATGTTTTGGCTGTATTGTTTAAATGATTATATATCTTTGTTTTCCCAAACTGTTTTTCTCTGTACTGCTTGGGTCATTTTTTAAAAGGATGCTGGCCCATTATTAAAAAAAATTTGAGAGGACACCTGATTCCTGCTTTAGATAAGAAAGCCTTAATAATATTTTTGCTACTCCAAGTAGCTGGACCGGAGCAGCATACAAATTCAGCAAGCAAGCAAGTAAATAAATAAACGAACGACTGTTCTTGAATGATTGAAGTAAGAGTACCATAAAGAACAGAATTAACAGAGCTAATTTGAGGAACAGATTGCAAAGATGGGACACTTTCTAATTTCCGTATTTTAGGAAGGGGGGTGGGGGAAGTATTCAAACCTCAGCTTATTTTATTAGCGTAGATTAGTTGCCATCGGATATAATTGGAATGCAAAAGGTGTTGTTGTATAGAGGGGAAAGAAGCAAACACTCGGTGGTATGAAATATTATCTTTTTGCACAGTGAAATAAGCAGCATTGGAATCGCATTCATCAACACCTGGCTGACACTAACATGAGAAGTGGGGATTGTTCGCTATGAATATTCACCAAATACGGTATCTTTAGTATCTGCTGTGTAATGCATCTTCTTTCTGTCGGGTGCATAATCTACTTCTCTTCCCTGCTCCCTCACCAAGTTTTGTTATCCTCTTATTCATTGCCTGCTTACCTTTCTGGAATAGCAATTCTGCAACCAAATTAAAGCAATATTGTCTTCCATATAGAAACAACAGGGTGAGAACCGTTTCGTTAACTGAATGCACCTCGCTGCCATTTGTGTGTCTCTGAATGTATGAGTGGGCGTTGGTGTTTTCCACCCGATATGTAATTTTGCAAGTCATTTTTTTCCGAGCCTGGATAGCTCTGCAGACTAAGCACTGTAATTCAACACCAGCTGTCTGCAATTAAAGTAAGTTCGAATCTTGCCAGGCTCAAGGTTGACTCAGCCTTCCATCCTTTCTAAGGTAGGTAAATTGAGGACCCAGTTTGTGGGGGCAATAAGCTGATTTTGTATAAAATATACAAAAGTATGAAGGCTATTGCTCCTGAGTCTCCGGAGAAGGGCGGCATATAAATCAAATAAAAAAAAAATCTATTTTGCATGTTGTTTTTTACTAATATCCACACCTTCCCCCTAATATATGCCTTTTGGTATGCACACTTCAAAGAAAGAGTTGTGTGTATTGATTTAAGAACATTGAATTATGCAGTGCAAGTTGGGATTAAAAACTTCTACCTCCTATGCTGAGATTTGCTCCTTCTTTCACTCCAGGAAGTATATGTTGGGGAGGGGATGGAGTTTCAGACAGCTGCGAAATAAGCTAAAGTGTTTGAAAACTAAGAAATTCAATTCAGGCTTGAGAGAATGCTGAATAATTGTAGCCTTTGATTCCTGCAGGTTTTGGGTCTGGCTAGTCTAAAGAAAAGAAGAATTAGGAATGACATGATAGCAGTATTCCGATATTTGAGGGGCTGCCACAAAGGAGAAGGGGGTCAAATTATTCTACAAAGCACCAGAGGGCAGAGCAAGAAACAATGGATGGAAACTAATCAAGGAGAGAAGCAACCTGGAATTAAGGAGAAACTTCCTAACAGTGAAGACAATTAATCAGTGGAATAGCTTGCCTTCAGAAATTGTAGGCACTCCATCACTGGAAGTTTTTAAGAAAAAACTAGATAGCCACAACTGAAATAATATAGGTTATCCTGCTTAAGAAGGGACCTTCTATTCTATTCTATTCTATTCTATTCTATTCTGTTCTGTTCTGTTCCGTTCCGTTCCGTTCCGTTCCGTTCCGTTCCGTTCCGTTCCGTTCCACTCCACTCCACTCCACTCATCTAGCTTTCTGGTTCAGCAATTTAAGACTATAGGTCCCATGATCTTACAGGAACATTAAGACTCTGCACCATTGTGGTTGTCATTTGTATGATCCTAGAAAAAGACATGGTCATGTTTATTTATTTATTATTTATTATTTAAACTTGTATGTTAAAGAGTTGTAGACAAGCCCTCATGCTCCAAAGTACATTGAACCAAATCCAATGTGCCTGAGCGCCCTAATATTAGATATGAGCAACCACTTGTTGTTTTTTTTGTAGAACAGAATAAAATCATGAGCCTTTGCCCATGTCCATATTATCCAAGTCCAGTGCTTTTTCCTGACTTTTCTCTAAGAGTTCAAGATGTTATCCACACAACACTGTCCATAATAGGTGAAATAATGGCAAGAGAATGAGTAGCTCAAAATCAACAACCGAGCTGTGGGCTATGGGATCAAGGAAGGATTTTAACTTGAGTCGCCATGGAACAAGTCACAATAAGTCAATCATGATGAATGGCCATCTATCTCCTGACCCCACCTCAATATTTATGTATTTGCTGGACTCCCGGACTTTTCAATTCATTGTGACCAACATTTACACTTTGATTTTACCATAGGTAAAGGTAAAGGTTCCCCTCGCACATATGTGCTAGTCATTCCCGACTCTAGAGGGCAGTGCTCATCTCCATTTCAAAGCTGGAGAGCCAGTGCTGTTCGAAGACATCTCCATGGTCATGTGGCTGGCATGACTAAATGCCAAAGGTGGTCCCTATGTTTCTACTTGCATTTTTTACGTGCTTTCGAACTGCTGGATTGGCAGAAGCTGGGACAAGTGACTTTACGCGGTGCTAGGGATTCAAACCACTGAACTGCCGACCTTTCGAGTGACAAGCTCAACGTCTTAGCCACTGAGCCACCGCGTCCCTTGATTTTACCATACTTAAGATAAATAAGTTAAATAGGCCTGAAATATCAAAGTTTTCGGTAGCATCACTAAGACAGTTCTGAAGGACTAAAAAGTTACCAAGTTTCAATCTTATGTTTTAAATTTTCTTTTTATGTATAACCTTTACTGAAGTTTTTTTTCCCCATGAATAAAAGATAAACATAAGAAGTTATTTAAAAAGAAGAATTAAGAAAGAGAAAAAAAGATAAAAGAAAAAGTTTGAGACTGCGTACAAATAAAGAAAGAAGAAAAGAAAAATAATTAAAGAAGCAACGTCTGATCTTCTTAACAGCAATTATGAAGCAATTTATTATCTCTCCTCCCTTTCTTAGATTATATTACATACTTCTTCTCTGTCCCATATTCAACCCTTTTAATCAGCAACTCCAGAAATCACCAGAATTTTGAGACCAGAATTTTGGTCACTAAACAATGTGTTTTTGAAATGAGTTATCACATAATCGGACTCAATTGTACGGCCTTTTTCCTTCATTTATTAAACTCATATAATTAATTTAATTTAATTTAATTAATTAAATTTATATGCCGCCCGTCTCTGAAGACTCAGGGTGGCTCACAATACATTTAAAAAATCATTATAAAAAGACATTGAAAAATGTAAAAACATTAAAAACATTAAAAACTCATTCACACCATTCATGGCCGGATCTCACCAGATCACAAGAGCGAGATCAACA